CCTTTTAGAGGCAAAGTGGTTTTGTTTGGTCTGTGTCCAAACAACGACAACAACAAAATTACATGAAAAAATCCTCAGCAAATTAGTCCCATTCATTCTTTATTAGGGGAGAGTGGAGAAAAAAAATACTATCTTACTTTCTCAGCACCCCCAGCTCTGCCTCTAGTAATCCATATTACGTTAAAATTTAAAATTTAAAATTTTTCAAAAGGAAGAAAAGAAAAAAACCACAAGTCTAGCCTAGAATTTTCCACACCAACTTCACTAGACAGGTTTTCACTCAAGAACAAGAAACTGAAGGAAGATTGAAATTTAAAAATTAACTTTATCTACTTAAAAAATACAGCTAAGTTGCTGGTGTTTATCTGCCTCTCTCGTCTCATCCTTTAGTTGTTCCTCACAGTCCATCAGTGTTCATTCATATCTCATGTTACTCTTTACAGAAGTAGGCAGACCAGGATCATGTTTGTTCTAAGTTTGTACACAGCCTAGCCTAAAAGGCTCCAGGTTCAGGACATGAGTTTGGGTGTTCTAATAACTAGCAGTATTTATAAAAATAACATTATCATTATTAGTCTGAAAGGGAACATTTAATTTTCCTCTTAAGTTCCTAATGTGCTTTGCAAGGTCTCTCCTCCACTAAGGAAATCTGGTATTTGAAGCTTGTATTTTGGAAATTGCCTATTAAAACACATTTGCATACACATATGAAAGCTAAATTAAATAACACTTGGCTAATCAAGCAGGAAAACCCACTTTTTTGTCCACGATGAGTATATAGTCCATTCAGACAGCAAAGCTGAAAGTCTAATTTAAAGGACTGAATTCACACCTGGCTTTAGAAAGAAAAAGCAAAAGAGAAGAGAGTGAATTCAACACAGATGAACAACACATAACTAAAAGGCAACTGATTTCTTCCATACAAGCTCTAAAGATTCTTCTGCATCCCATATATCACACATATGTCTTTATCTTAAAAAAACAAAAAAGGGTGAAAAAAATCAACCCAAAACATAACAAACCACAAAAACTGTGTCCAAACGCATAATTTTTCATGAACTCCTACCAATGTCTGCCACCCTGAAACCTCTGGAACAGACTTGTACATGCTCCTTACTTTGCACTCGTCATAAATTTCACTTCACAAAGTGGTCAAAACTGAGCCCAATGTTAAAGTGTAAGTATGAAGTTAAAGTCTTGCTTACACTGCCTGGGCTCTTGTATTCCTCTGTTCCTCTGCCATCACCGCACAGCTCTCTGGATCTTTAGTTTTCTGACTTCATCTGATCATTCTCCATCACTTTGGGAGCTATGTATTTGCAGGATCAAATCCACTTGTGGGAAATTTATCCTTCTGAACTATGAAGAGGTGTTCACAAACAAGCCAGTATCTGGAACAGGTAGTTCCATGGGTGAGGAACAGGTGCAGCACCCATAGTCAGCTGGATTAGGAATGTCCTGTGTCCATACTCTTAGCCTGGGGACAGAAATTGGGCTGGAACTCAACTGAACGAAGTAAGCACTAACCCATTTACTATTCACTACAGTAGAGAAAACATTGCAACATGCTGGCAACAAGCCCATGTTCACTACTAGCCCACAATCTAAATCATAGCATTCTAATTGTTTACAGACAAATTAGCATAACTCTGCTACTTACAGTGGGGTTTTCTTCTAAGTATCTGATAAAGTCAGCACTGGAGACTGCTGATGGACCCTACTTCACAACTTCTTACCCTATCATCAAACTCAGCACTTTCCACAGACTGCATTAACCCCAGCATGGTACTAACATGGCTATTTGTGACATTTGAACTAGGCTGCATACTAAAGATGAATTAAACAAGACTGCAAATTAACCCAGGCTTCAAGAAAAAGTACTAGCAATTACACTACTTATACTTTTTCATCTAATTTCAAATAGCTGAAAATCCAAATGCAGCCAAAGCATATATGGGCTGCACAAAAAGTTTCACATGCAAAATAAGTGTGCATAATCAGCACCTTGGTGTAATTCATTTCCATATAGAGATTAATGAACTAGTTCTGACAAAGTAAGAAAACACAGCACTTCTCAACAAGGCTTTACAGGCTCTCCAAGATTCTCTGGCTATTCTGCCATTACCCACCAGTCACACACAGCACACTCATGCCTTTTCCAGCATGTCAACATAGCAGGGGAGAAAAAGCAACAAAAACATTCTCCAGTGTTCTCCTCCTGGGCAGCTACAGCACCATAAAGACACGATTTTTGTATCTTCCCCATGACCACCAGTCTCTCTTTATTGTCATATATGTGCTCTCTTTCCATGACTTCAGAAACTGGAGAAATAATATTTACCTTTATAAAGTACTTCTTCCCCTCTATCCTCATGCTTAAGAGTAAGGGTCAAAACCAGACTATCAAAGGTGCAGCCACACAACAGACTTCTTTCTGGAGCAGAGAATATGGCTATAAGACCTAATAGCGCCAGTACTTTGCTGATTTTTGACTAGTGAACCAAATTCTCAGGCACCTTTCAACAGTATTAATTCCATTGCTGACCCTATGATGCTTTCATCCATGTATCACAGGCAGTTCACAGAAGTGACTTTGTCACAAGCCCCTGACACCACTAGCTTTAAAATGCCATTCCACCCAAGGGCATAGACATCAAATGTACATGTGAATACACACCAGAACACTGTGTGATGCTTCTTAATTGAATTATCCAGATAGCATATACTGCAAAACCCAGATCACTTTGCTTTCAAGTCCAAATGAATTCTGATGCTCTTTAGGATTTCTCTTATTATGAAGAGTATTGGTCACTGCAACAATTTATGCCATCTCTCAGGAGTCGACACCCCTTCAATTTACTTTGTTCCCACGCCCCAGTTCAAAAGCCCAGATCTGGGAGTCAAATGCTCCTGATTCCATGCCACTTCTCCATTTGGAAGGAATTCCAGTTGACAAATCACAACCAGATCATGCCAGTCCTATTACCCTCCCAGTACTTTGAAGTTGGACCTCAATATTCATTTTATGTCTGCTTCTCTCATTAAAAGAAACATAAACCACTTGGAAAACCCACTTTCTGACACACTCCGAGCCACATAGCCAGAGCTACTTTTGGGAAGCACTTCTGCAGTTCAGTTGCTTCAGGTTTAAAAGCACTCAGAAACACAATGCCAAAGGCAAAGAAGTTTAATCTGCTGCTTTAAAATTACTTGGAAGAACCCTCCCATTAAGCTTTGGGAGCTCTCACACTAACAATCTCTAAAGAAATACACAGAAACCAAAGATAATTCATTTACAATGTTAAATTTTAAGTCCTTGTAGTTTATAATACTCAAAAGCATAAACAGAGAAAGCAGAAACTGAGCAGGTAATGACAGTAAGAAACATACCTCCAAAGAGGGTAAATATGTGCACCTGGTTATCAATGGTGACTCAGCAGTTTATTATGTATGCTAAAAGCAGACTAACAGACATTACTACACTCATCTGACCTATAAGATAGGTTTACTATTCAAGGAAGTAAATACATGCAAGCACAATGTTTTTGTAAGTACACATACTCCTAAGTGTAAGGCAGAAATACCAGCAATCTCTTACAGTCCTACTACCTGAAAGCATGTTGAGGGTTCACAAAGAGGACAGTACACTCACACATTATATGCAGATTATACCTATGTAATCCAGTTATACTTCAGTTTAATATGTTCCACTTAAGAATTTCACTCTTTTTCCTATTAGGTATACACAGGAAGTTCCTCTAAGCCTTCTCTACCACTTAAGACTTTCATTATTAAGGGGAGAATGATGGGACCAGAAGACCATTCTAGTGTTCCTCATCCTAAAGCTACCACTCAAGTGCCAAGTGTTGTTTCTGTAGCAACAAAGTTGTTTCAGCCTGCCAGGCCCCAGTACCTTGGATGGTCTGACCCAGACACCTTAACCACAACTCATGGCATTTGACAGACTCAGTGAAGAGCTACAGTCCGATGACCCAGCTGTGTCACACTGATTCTCGGTGCTGTAACAAAACTGCTCTGAAGTAATACGGGGACAACTTGCATTTCTGCTGCTATTTTTCTTTGTGTGTCGTTTGTTTTGGATTTGTTTCCTTCTTTTTCCCCCCATCTGTGAATACAGGAGAGACCCCAATAGTAATACAGCACTCTAATTATCCAACCCTGAACTCTTATTAAGTAAGAATTATTACTTAGATTGAAAAAAAAACAACCAAAAATCAATTAAAATGGGTGCCCTTTAAACTTTCATACACATTTATTTTCCATAACCAGTGCACATCTATCACACGAACCCTCTATAGTACTATACATAGACTTAATCCTACTACCCTGGTTATCCCAAGAGAAAAATAATTACAGAAAACGCTTCATAATAAAATCATTACGCCTAAATCTGCGGGATCTCAGCCAGTGGGTGTGTTCATCAGGTTGTTCCAAACCGCACCGATTTCAGCGCACTGCCCGCGCACGCTTCGATGAGATTTGAATCGGGCCTCTGCACAGAAAGGCTGCATTCCTAAACTTTCCACAGGTCGCCCACCCAGGCCTCCTGACCACGGCCACCCGCGCTCGCAGGAGCCTTGCCCGGCCCCGGCAGCTCGCACGCCCCGCAGGCACAGCTCTCCGAACACCTCTGCGCACACGGCCGGGTTGAACATCCTTCCAACCCCCGCCAGCCGCGCGCTTCACCCAGCCAAGTCTCCACTCCCAATGCTCAAACTCCTTCAGACCCCGATGGCTCCCCCCGCCCGCTTCGCCCGGGACTTGCTGAGGGCCGGCCGGCCCGCCCGCCGTCGGAGTCCCCCAGAGCCTCCCGGCGCCAGCCCGCTCCAAGCCCCGTCGCCGGCCCCAGGCCGCCCTCAGCGCGCGCCGGCCCAGCCCGGGACACCGGCCGGCCCGGCCCGGCCCGGCCCGCCTCGCCGGCTCCGCACCCCCGTCCGGGCCCCTCAACCGCCCCCGCCCCGCGCCCTCCCGGGACGCACCTTAAGGCTCCCCCGGAGGGGGCCCTTGCCGTGGCCGGCCAGTGCCGGGGGGGCGCTCCCCAGGCCGCCCTCCTCCTCCTCCTCTTCCTCCTCCACCTCAACCACCACGTCCTCGTCTTCGTCCTCTTCCTCAAGCGCCGCAGCGGAGCCTTCCCGCCGGGGCGGCCTCCAGGCGCTCTCGGGCTTGGGGGGCCGGACCGCGTCCACCTGCGGCGCCGCCGCGCTCAGCCGCCGGCTGCCCATGCTGGAGCGCTTGGCCAAGCGCCGCGCCTGCATGGTGCCTCCGCCCGGCCGGCCCGGCCCGGCCGCCTCCCGCCGCGCTCAGCCCCGGCCGCGGGCAGCGGGCGGCGGCGCTCACCGGGGGGCGGCGGTGGGTGTGTGCGGCGGGCGCGCCGCGGCCATGGGGGCCCGCGACCGCGGCCAGGCGGGCCCGGAGCCGGCGTGGCCGCCCCGCCGCTCGCCCACCTGCTCCCCGCGCCCTCCTCCTCCGCCGGCTGCCCGCCCGGCCCGGCTCGGCTGTCGGGTGCAGCGCGCGGTCCCTCCCGCTCGCCCTTCCTCGCCGCCGCCGGTCCCCGGCGCCAAAACCCGGACTGGATTCCCGCCGGCCGCGGCTCCGCCAGGCGCGGGGCGTTGGGGCCGCGCCGCCTTCGCCCGGAGCCGCGGGCGGATTTGGCTGCCGGGCAGGCCGGCCCCCGCCGCCCACCCACCTCGGCCCGGGAGCGCCCTGCCGGCCCTGCCCGCATGTGCTGTGTTCACACGGCAGCAGGGCACGGGTGCCCGACAGGACATTGCGGTGCTGCAGCGTGTCCAGAGAAGGGCAACAAAGCTGGAGAAGGGTCTGGAGCACAAGTCCTGTGAGGAGTGGCTGACGGAGCTGGGGTTGTTTAGGCTGGAGAAAAGGAGGCTCGGGGGGACCTTAGTGTTTTCTACGAGTCCCTGAAAGGAGGCTGTAGCCAGGTAGAGGGCGGCTTTTTCTCTCAGATAAGCAGTGACAGGACGAGAGGCTAAAGTCTTAGGCTACGCCAGGGAAGGTTTGGGTTGGACATCAGGAGGAATTTCTTCATAGAAAGGGTGTTTAGATATGGGACTGAGCTGCCCAGGAGAGGTGGTGGAGGGAGTCGCCGACCGTGGACGTGCTTAAGGAAGGACTGGAGATGACACTTGGTACTATAATTTAGTTCACCCGGTGGTGTTCAGTCATACGTCGGATTCGATGATCTCGGAGGTCTTTTCCAACCTAGTTGATTCTGTAACAACCTCCACCCGCAGAACAGGCTGCCAGATTTCTCGGGCCTCAGTAAAATAAAATTATTTCACTTCTTCCCCCTAAAAAAAGATAAATGGTGGAAAAATGGAACTTTTGGAGGAAAAAAATCTGAAATTAAGAATTTGTTTGGGTTTTTTTCAAGATCAATAGTTGAAGCAGTGGTATCTATACCCTGTTGAGAAGAAAATTACCTGGAACAGTTAGGGAAATAATTTCTGGTTTAAATTCTATGCTTCAAATTTAAAATACCTTTCTGAAAAGCTTTTTTTTTTTAGAAAATTAAAATAGTTTCCAAACAGTTTCAAGTTACTGTGGCCAGCATTTAAATTTGCTACAGGCTTCTATGCCATTCATTAATGCCTCCTGAGACTGAATTATACTTAAGGTTGTCACATGCTTTTCCTAAACTCTTCCTCTATAAATCTTAAGTCTGCATTTACATGTTATTTTTGAGCCATATTTATATTCTTTTCCATCTACAAGTGAATTACAGTCATTCCCTTCTCAGTGTTCAGTACTTTTCTCCCTGCACATTCTGTTCTAGAGACCTGCCAACAGGCCAAATGTACACATATTGTCAGCATGGGGCCAAGCTTCATCCTAGGTTAATTCATCCCTTTCAAAAAGCAATGGTATTTTTTATTCTGGAATATAGCATACAGCATTTTTTAGGCAAGAAATTATACATAACACAGTACCTGTTCTTAAATACTGAAGTTGCTTTTCATGTCAAACTATGTAAGTTGTTTGAATTCTCTCAACCCAACCTGCAAACCAGTTGTTTGCATTCATTATTTCAAGGTTCCCAGAGATCTGGGTCAAGATCTGCAACAAAATTGCTGGGAAATTCTGGCATATTAGGGTTTCCAGCAGTATTTCCCCACCTCTCCAAAAGTGTCCTTTCCAGATGTTTTCCCAGTGCTTTGACCAGCTGCACTGCAATGTCAGCTCAGCCCATCTCAGCAGAACAGCAGCCAGAACTGGTACATGCTGCCACAAGATGTTCTGTCTTTTTTCCTGCTACTACATGTGTGCTTAACTTCTTGACACTTGGCTGAGTGGATCAGTCATAGTTTTTTGAAGCTGATGTTGCATAAAGGGGAGATTGGTGGAAGAGGAAAAAAAAAAGATAAATGCTTTTTTTTTTTTGTTTTATTCCTATGCTGAATGTTCATATTTAGAGTTTATATTTGACATAATTCAGTTATGCTTAGGTTTTATTACTTTAAACATGAATTTCAACATGAATTTCAATGGTAGTCATAGTTCCTTATACCTTAAAGGCATGGAAATAGAATCATTCCAATACCTCCTAGTCTTCAGATTATTTGGAGTGTTTTATATAATTTTAATACTACCTGAATCTAATTGTGATCTTCTCTAGTGGGTTGTGTTCACAGTTATCTGAATTATAATTGTGTTACTAAGGGTCCCATTCCTATCTGCCACATACTGGGATATATATTGAGAGACTTCCTTAATTTTTTTAAGTCCTGTATGTTTTAACTGCAACAAAACAAGAAACAAATTTAGAAACTATATGCAGCAAGTGTGGATTACTAAATTGGATCATATGAATTGGATTATATGTACTAGCATGAACACTACAAACAACAGAATGGAAACCAAAGGATCTCTTGCAGAAAACTGTGGTGATAAAGGATAGCTGGGCTTGTACAGGCACATCTGTTAACTCCCATGACAGCTCACACTTCAGCCTCTCTTTGAACTCCCTATTCAGCCTTTTTGCCAGGTTTGCTCTGGGATCTGCTCTAAGGTATAGCTAACTTGACACCTCTTGCCCTGAGGTTTCTGGCGAACATAAAAACAGAGATTGCTAATCAGTTGTCAGGCTTTCAGTTCTCAGTTCAACAATCGTTTCAAGAATTACTTAGATGGGTTCTCTGGTTTGGAAGCATGGTGGCACAAGGCAGAGAGGCTCAGGCAGGTACTCAGGCACACACAAAACATCCCAGGCCTGCCTGCCTGCAGGAAGATGCTCCATCCCCCAAAATGTTTCCTCTTCTCCACAGGACTCCACCAGTTCATGGCCTATCAGATCTCAAAGCAGAGAAGGACAGCATGTGATCCCTGCAAGAGTTGGTCAGGGTGACAGAGGAAAAGTGTAACCAAATTCTGGTGGAGGGAGAGATGCCAAAATAGTTTTGGGGTCCAGAGGGAATGACAATCCAGAGTTCACTAGGCTGATGGCCAGTGCAGTCCCAGGAAGGGGTTTAGAGAAGACTGACTTTCCATTAGTAATCTGAGCTGCTAATGTTTTTTACTCCTGTTGGGTTATCAAATGCAATGAGAAGCCAGTGTTGACAACTCTACAACAGATTGGTTAAAGATTTCTAGCACTTCTCAGGCAAGCCAGATTGGAGCTATAGTAGGAATAACTTCTCTCACAATATTTGATACAAACAAAAGATAGAACTGACTGTTTGCTCCATTTCTTCCAGTCTGTCTGACTTGCAGTATGAATGGAGCTGAAGCTGAACCCATGCTGTCCTTCCAGTGCCTCCCAGGGGAGCTAAATTATGGAGGAAGTCAGGGAGTCCTAGACAGTCTTTTTTCTATATCTTTACGTTCACAAACAGTTAAGAGTCAAACACAGGTCATAATCCAGTATCACACATCAACGTTTTTTGCCAGAGACTCAGTCTTAGCACTCTTGGGGTGATCTGCTGAACAATTCTGGCCCATAGCCATGGCCTGACACCACGTAAATTCTTGTGATATATGGGGTAATATGGTATCACTTAGCTCAACAGAGATATCTCATGATTGTACCACAGCAAAATATGCCTCTAATGTAAGTACAGACTCTGGCTGGAGTAGGAGCTGTTTACATGTCAATGATTTCCAAGCTTATTAAAAGTTAATGTGCATATCCACACTCCCTTTGTGTACACAGCTCTCCAACACAGCAAAAATGTTTCAGATGCTTCTTTGCCTCTAACCTTAACAATTAGTTCATACTTCCAAAAATGAAATTTCTCTCTCTCTCTAAAGACATAAGAGACAATTCTTATGATAAGTAGATGTAAGCATATATATCTCCCTCTAGAAGTTCTTCTGGAGCAATCTGTGAAGGTGAATTACACTGACAGCTTTTCACTTCATCTTGAATAATTATTGTCTATCTTCTTTCAGTATACCCACTGGGTAGCCCTGTGCACTAGGCACAGAAAAATAAATCTGGCTTTCCCTAGCACTGCCTTAACTATGCCGTGATGATTACCATCAGGTGGAGTTTCTTATAATACATATTTTTCCCAAATATTTCATTTAGTCCCTTGTTCAGTTAAGTATTCATCAAATTTTTAAGATAATTATTTACTGATCTGTTTGACATTTTGTTCTGTCCAGCAGCTACTGTGATCATGACTACAGGCAAAGCTTCCCTGACATCACATCAAGGGAACAAGTTCCTTTTACTTCAAAAAGCAGAGATTTTTCTGTAATGCTGAAGGAGGCATTACTTACTCTATAACCTCCCTGCTCACTGGTCCCAGAACTGCTTCCACCAGGGACCATCACTCAGCAATGCAGCACTAGCCACAGCTAACAAGCACTAGTATGGGTGTGCTTCAGTTTGCCTCATAGGAGCAGGTGGCTACATCAACAGCAGGCATTTTATTGGACCACCCTGAATCCTGCCTCAGCTAGCTCTCATTTTTGGTTTTTATTTTTAATCTCTTTTATTTTTCTCCCTTTTTTATATGCCTTCAAGGAAAGAATACATTTTTTGTTATTTTCTTTAATATCTGAATATTTTTTCCCCTTGTCCATGAATGCCAGCTTTTTATCACTAGAGGCAAGACCCCCCTCCTCCTGCCTACTCCCAGACTGATGATGCTATGCTTCAGTTCTTGCCTTTAAAAATCTAGCAGCAATACAAAGACACCCTCAATTTACTGCA